AATGGCTATTTCAGATAGTCTGATGATAATTAAGAATTATGTATGAATATCCAATGAATATATGAGTTTATAGTAGTTCAGAAACGAAATCTCTTAAGTATGGTGGATTGAACTCATTTCAATGAAATCAGTGTTTCTTGTGAATTAAAGAGTTTAATGGAAAGATGATGCAGTTTGATAAAGGAATGGTTTATACACAAGTAATTAGAGTAATGGAAGGTTAACGTCTGCTTCCTTCTGAGCATACTAGCCGAATTTTTGTAATAACTCAAGCGAAGCTGAAAAGATAAGAATTGTACAGTATATTGTTTATTTTCCTAAGAATTCACAGTATCTCTTCAATATCGTGTGTGCATTAGGTGTCTGACGATTGCAATCGATCAAACCAATTGAATAGCTCCTACAATACAAATAAAGAGTGACGTAGGATACTGAAAGTTTTGAAGAGAATCCTAACATGAAAAGTTTTATTGGTCTATAGCATATACTCTATAGTTATGTTGTATACTTTTTTGTGTATAGTGTCCAAAGTTCTCCAAATAGATAATATTGCGCATGACTTTTGAAGCTTAATCAACTCACATAAGTCCTAACCTCTTCGGGGGAACAAAGATGAGTTCTGTGGGTTACGATTGACACTTTAAATGATTCTTACCAATCTTCTTTCTGTATAGTTATTCATGACATCATTATGAAAAATTCTGGATTTTTAATTGAATGCTAGTGAACAGTAGCAATGACTTATATGCATAAACATTGTCTCTAACTTTCACTTGACAGTTCGCAACATGGATTTAAATTAAGGAAGAATGTAGGATTTTCAACTGAATTCACTGCACATAAATATGCAACTGTAAGTGTTAACATGATTTGTCATTTTAGCAGTTATGCATTTTATGGCAGTATACCCCCATTATAATCCGTCCAGTGGTAATGTAAATTATGAACAAAATAATGAGAAGATAAAGATTATCTGAAACATGTGATGTACATTTTGAACAATCTGATCATACATGAACTTGTCGAATAGTTTGTATGAAACTTAGAAAAGTTAATTAAGCCAATGGAGTTATACTTAAGAAATATAACAAGGATAGAAGAAAAGCAAGAGAGGAGAAAAATAATAAATGTTCAAATCACTGTCAACAATAGTACAAAGAATTGAACTTAATAGTACCAGCGTAGGTTTAGTGTCAGTACAAATTGTTTCTGAATACATGAAGGGGGTTTGAATGTATGGATTGCAAGTGCTTCGATGAATCTAAGTATTCGTCCTTGACCATATCTATACAGTAGAGTAAAGGGTGTCTTCATATCAGTCTTGTGACCAGTTTCTACTATGTTTTGCTATCGATGAGGAAGGACGTTTATCACATGCACTTATTAAACTGTTATAGGTCTTTTGTTTCTGGAGCCATTTAGGGACGTGTTTAACCATTCTTAACTGCATGTCACGGTTGCTCCTCCCTGTGTATGTGTGTCCACCCAAATTTTATATTGACATGCACAGTGGGGTGTGATACACTCGTTCAAATGATGTTTAGGTTTGTGTTGAAGCATGGGCTTTGTCTTCTTCACTAAGATGACTGCGTAGCACGTCCTACTAACAGCTGATTTGAGCCTTTTCTTCAAGATTAGGCTATTCGATTCACCCCCTGTATGGCAATGTGACATACACATTTCCCTTAGGGACAATACCGACTAGTCGGTGTCATTGTTGTACCGATTTTACATCTATTGATACATTTCTATGGATATCCATTTCGCACTAATGTATTCGTCAGGAATTTTGCTTCTGTTTCTTTTGTGTCATCTATGCGAATACGATGAACTCTATTAAATAAACACCTGACTGGGCGACGCTTGTATTGGGCTGAACAGTAACTATGGGAACTGAGGTACTGTCCTGTCCAAGTCAGCTTCCTATGGATAGACCTTCTGATTGAGGCATCCCCTCTTCGACTAATCAGTATGTCTAAAAATGGTAGTCTGTCATCCACTTCTCTTTCGTAAGTTAAGCTAATATGACTTTGTGGATTATTCATTTTATTCGACAAGTTCATGTATGATTGAATTATTCGAAATGTATAGAACTAATATTTTACATGTTTCAGATGATCTCCGTCTTCTCATTACTTTGTTCAAATTTATCAATGGGACTAATTGTCTCAAGTAATGTAGTCTTTTTTTAAAATCATGTAACTTTTGGTGTAAACTGTTTTGTATAGTGCTATGCATTTATCTCGACTAGATAGATCAAAACATCAAAGAGAAATAAAAGGCTATAACATGAATCGATTGGGGGCAGTTCAATCTATTCATATGAAAAGTTCATTTTATGCAGTTTATTGTGATGCTCATCTAGTTGCTGTTTGCGTTCCGACTGCCTATACTTATTCGTGAACTATTTACTAGCGTAGTATTATAACTGACCTTAGAGGTGTAGGTTTCTGTCTAGTTTTACTGGAATTCTTTGCAATTGAAACCTACCATCAGTGGTCTAGTCGATAATATTTTGGTGTTTGGGGCGATGGTTACTGGGTTCGAGTCCCGGTGAGTAAAACATCACTGACTGGAGTGCAGGTGCATCCCAAATAAGATGAAATGTATATCTTGGATTCCACTGCTAGCCACCAAACAGATTACAATATAACAAATATACAAGCAGTATTGAAGAAGTTCACATCGGAGCCCATCTTCCAACAGAGGTCAAACAATTCTACCCAGAATAGCAACAGGGAATTACAAGTATCAGTAAATAACATCAGACTTTTTTATTGGATGTGTAGCAAACAGTGATACAGTATTATGTACTTCATGAAGTTTCGAAGATAAAATATTGGTCATAATCAATAAAAGTAAAAACACAACTTTTGACATCCGATTTTTACAGCCCTATCTCCTTGGATTCTTTGTTTTCAGTGGTAATAAAGTTTTCCACATCCTCAGTGTGTGTTGCTTTATTCCTATCACATGTGTTGAGTACTGACTTGATGAACAAAAATTCGGTAATCCAAATCTCTCTCTGTCTAAATGCAGTTTGCTGAGTTTCTGTGTTGTGATAAACAAACTGATACCAAGCGGTTAGTTCCACCTGTAAATTTGATCTTACAGTCATCGCATGGTATTTGGTAGATTAAATTATTTTCTTTAAATTGTTCCGTAGGATCCTCGGGCCGATAAAGCTTTCAATCCAGTTCACTTATGAGTTCAACATACCTAATTCTCTTTATTCTCATAAAGAGAATTAGGTGTGGTGAATAGCAAAGTCAAAATAAGAACAAATGGTGGTTTGTATACTACCGTTTGCAGGAAACCAACACGTTTTAATAGATCATCTCATCTAATATCAATTAAAGAGGGTTTAATCATATGTTTAGATAATAGAGTGAGAAAACTCACCAATGAATCCAAGAACTTAAATAAGGAACTGAAACACTAGTAATTAACAATTATATGTTACAGTTTATTGGGAAGTTCTTAAAGAACATATTAAAAACGAAGTAGTAACGGAAATACAAGTAAAAGGGAGTTCAAAACTTCTGTTGTGTTACCATATAAAGAAGAGATATTAGAATGTTTACGTAGAATTCTCAACGAGGCTAAGATTCAGTTGGCATTAATACCAACAAACAGATAATTTGTATAGGATAGATTGTTGATATCAGTCAGCGTCGAGTACCTGTTAACCATAAGAAAACTACTAGTGTCCTCTCAATGGTTCGAATCATCAAAATCTACCAACCAAGTTTTGCAATGTGGTCACCAAACTAAGTGACGTGATACTGCCATGCACTGTATTTCGGTGTTAGGTGTTGAGAGCCGATTGGCAGGAAGCCCTCACGATTGTAGGCACACCTTGCTGATGACTGCCAACAAGCACGAAACTTTATTCGTCGTAGTATATGCCAGAATAGACAGCAAACTTACGATGCCTCATTTAAATGCATTAGTAACCATCCTAATTGGTTATTTCGATGATTGTTAAGGTGGCGTGTTGCATCACTCTTGTTAGGCCTACAGACTTGGTATAACTCCTCAAGGTAATAGCATCAGAAATCATAAAAAGCAGTAAGACGAAAAGCAAAGGAGATCAAGAGGATAAAAATATGTGATAATACAGCTGTCAATATTTAGTTGGAGGGATAGCATCGATGTAGCTGCTGTTTAGGATTGGTTATGTTGAATATGACCTAAAGTTCTGAATGCTCGACTTCATTTGTCTCGGAGGCACAACTAGTAAATCAAAGACTCCCTGTATGTCTGGAATAAGGTCAAAGAATTGACGAATTTGTTGCCATGTCGTAGTCTAACCACCATCAGATTTCTTCCAATTCATCCTAGGTATCAGTAACACGTGTCTCAGTCATCTGAGTTGATACAGTTCCATTGCATCATAACCTGAATAACGTTCTTGACTTAATAATCTACGTTAAACATTTGCATAGAACGGTCTGTTCGTAATAGACATTCAGACATCCTGGAGTTTGGGAAAGATCCATATTTCAACACCAATGTTGTTTCACTCACCAACTCACTAGAGTTGATGCAACTTTCTCAGCCGCATAAAATAGTCAATGCGTTTAGGCACTTTTATTTCATTGTCAAACTAGACGTAAATAAAAACCACTAGTAACCTGGATTAGGGAAATGAGAAAGGCTTTCACTGTTTCCTAACCTTATCCCACAGCGACGACACACACTGAAAACAAACAGATAACAATTTGATTCATATATTTCTTATGCACAATAGGTGTAGTAGTAGTGGCCACAGTCACCACTCATAAAATATGTGATATATATGCTGAGATATTGATTAGCAGTAATAATGTACATGAACATATGTACACTTGAAGAATAATCTCAAATAACGAGAAATGAACCTATATCACAAAATTCTATACATGCGTGCACTATAGAGAGAAAGAAGAATGGATGAAGTGAAATAAAAATCATATATGAACAAAAAGCTGAACAAACTTTAGAAGAAGAAGAAATAATTACAAAAAATCCCATTGAATCATTTGTGATGTTGAATTAGTGATTAAATGAAACACTAGTGTAAAAATTAACACATTACGCACAAGTTTCAATGGTGAGTTAGGAATGACATACTTTTGTAATCTACGTGTTAAGATGTGTACTTCATGACATATACATATGAAAATGAATGATGTCACAGCTAAATTGATTAACGGGTAACCAGGCAGCAGAACAAGAATCCCATATGCATCAGCTGACAGCCATATATGATATTGAGCAATAAAAAGCTGTGAAGAAAGGAAAGAGAGAATAAAGAATGTAATGGATTCCACACTTAGTTTTTTTCTCAGAGTGGAAATACAACTCTAAGTATGCATAAAAGAGAAATTAAGAGGATCAGTTTGAATGAGTGTCCTTTTCACCACAGATAGAGAGTAGTTAGTCAAACATTAAAACCAATAGGCAATGAGAATATGTTTCGTCTCATTTTAAGATTCTTCACTTGTAATCAGTCATTACTGCTTAAAGAATGATATCTATAGCCATGGATGATGGATCAATCCTTAATAGTTGGTAGTTTTACACTCAATTAACTTTCTATGCTGAAGTCGAAGACCACTGAGTTGGTAAACCTTAGATTCTGCTTTCCTTGACAACAGTTATGGATATGCATTGGAAATTTTGGTCGTAAACAATTGTTTAACACTTGCAAATCTATAATCCTGAAAGGGTTAGACATTCACTAACGGTGAAATATCAGCCAGCAACCAGTAAAATATACAATCGATGAAATACTGAGAGAGAGAAAAAACTCTTTTTCACCCATCTGATTTGCATCAAAACACTTCTAAGTACCGTAAACCACTGAACAAGTTGGAAATGTAATTTCTATACCATACGTGGTATGTTTGTGAATAGTTTAGTTAGCTATTTTCAAAACTTAATCAACATTTTGTGGATATGGATCCGAAGTTACTGAGTAGATTTATCTAATAAAGATACAGAACCACGAACATATTCGAACTAGATGATGTGATTATTATAGGCTGTAGAAAGCTTAAATTGTTTGATCGTTTTGATTCTGTTCCATCCAATTACAGTTTCTATCCTAAGGAAAATGAGAATACACGGACTCAGTTAAATAACTTGATTTTATTTTTAGATATCTAAATAAAGCTAAGATTTGATGATTTGAAGAGATTTGGATGCTAATCAGATCCAGTGATAGTGATCAGTTAAGATCTGCTAATTCCCTTAACCTTACGGTTATTTTTTTTTAAACTTCGCCAATTACTCAGGATTACCGACATCACATTCCCTTTTCAGGTTACGGATGAATATTGAACAAATAAACGGTAGCTGAAATCCAACTGAACTTTTCTTTAAAAAGTTTTCAACATTACATTATCAAAGTTTCCCGCTTTAAAAGTAGGTAACTGACTTATTTTACTTAGAGGAAGTTTCAGTGACTTAAGTCTGTCTACTCTTCTCTGGAAAAGATCTAAACTGATGCATTGAGCTTATCTCCATTATCTTTACTATCTTTCTAAACTTAACTGATCACCACTATTCAGAATCGTTCCAATGTAATAAGTCTTTATACTAAAATACCAATCAGTATAGAGGCAGTGAGAAATCAAATAACTACTGACTCAGAACTTACAGAACTAACATATCGGTTAATGAGATCATGTAAGGCGTACAGTTGTGCCTGATCTGCACAGTTTCAGGACAAAACATGTAGAGAAACAGAAGGAGTAGCAATAAGATCGCCAATATCCCCAATCGTAGCAGATAGCTGGGAAAGGATAGCTTTGCAAACCTTTAATTCTGCACCTAAGAAAGGAAGGGTACCTGCAGATTGGACAAAGGGGTATTTCATCAAAATCCCAAAGAAAGGAAGACATAAGCCTTTGCAAGAACTGGAGTGGAATCATGCTGCTGTCCACCCCAAGCAAAATATTATGTCGCATCATCCTGGAGAGACTAAAGGATGTGCAGCATCGTTTCAACTACAAGGTGGCACAAACGAGGATGTCAAAACCAGGATCTCAAAAGCAAGCAAGCAATGTGGAGACCTACTGCACAAAGCGTGAACATGATCCGGATTTTCGACACTAATGTCAAGTCAGTGCTGCTACATGGTTCGAAAACTTGGCGTGTCACGAAAAGAATTTCCAACAAACTACAGACATTCATCAACAGCTTCCAGGCTCACTCGATACTGACAATGAAGATCATTTGGATTGCTAGAAAGAATAAACAACAAGAACCTATTACCCAACAAATATGCGGAAGAAAGTGGAGATGGATTGGATTGGGCATACACTGAGAAGACAGACTGGGAACATCACGCACCAGACCTTCCAGTGGAACCCTCAGGGGAAACGACGAGTTTGGCCTCCGAGGGTGACATGGAGGAGATGGTGTGAGGAAGAAATGAAAGCTTGGGGAAGTGGTGGCGCCAGGTTCAAAAGACTGCAAAGAAGAGAGTGCAATGGAGGCGTGCTATTGAAGCCCTATGTCCCACTAGGAACCCAGGGGAAAAAAATAATTCTGCACCTAAGATATGTTACGATATGTGGATGACACATTCACATGTGTTGAAATTGGAACATATCGACAATTTCCTCACACATATAAACTCAGTAGTAGGCGCAATCTAATTCACTTGCGAGGTAGAAAATGAACAAGGAGAATCATCTATGTTGGATTGCAGGATAAAACGAAGGACAGATGGTGGTTTGGATACTACCGTCTACATAAAACCAACACATTCCAACAGGTATCTAGACTTCAAGTTATCTCATCCGGTGTCAGTTGAGGCAGCTTTAGCCAGCTGCCGAAATGATAGGGCTAGAAAACTGACTAGTCAGTGCAAGGACCTAAACAAGGAATTAAAACACGTAAAAGAAGCGCTAATAGTCAATACTTATCCTCCACAGTTTATTAAGAAATTCGTACGGACAAACGAGACAAAAAAATAACGGTAACACGAGTACGAATAATAACGACAACATGAGTAGAAAAGAGTTCACAGCCTCCATTGTGTTACCCTATAAAGAAGGCACATCAGAATCTTTACATAGGATCTTCAACAAAGCTGGAATTAGGGTGGTATTTAAACCTACAAACTCATTTGGAGATAAGCTTTGTCGGCTGGCTTAACGATCCGATAGAACCAATTGAGCAAAATGATCTGACCTATCAAATTCCATGTGATGACTGTGAGCTCAAGTACATAGGTCAACTAACCAGTCGGGGTCAGTCAGAATAGTAGAACATAGGAATTTAGCTAAATATACGATGACAGACCCGAATAAGATTAATAATGTAGAAAAATACTCGGCTGTTGCAATGCACGCATTAACACAAAACCACACAATAGGGTGGGACAAAATCACTGCACTTAAGTCAGTCCAATATAATTAGGTGGAGAGAGAGCGAGAGAGGGAGAGAGAGAGATTACTGAATCTTTGTCCAACGGACCAACACCCAACACATGTAATACGAATGAGGTGACACCTATGCCAGAGATATGGAACATTTTGCTACAAATAAAAACAAATCATATGAGATGACGTAACCATAAAAATTAAATGTCAAAGGCTGTGTGATTACATTGATATGATTATGAGCAACAATTTATGCTCGAAACGTTATCAAGTAAATAATACTATATTATATCATTGTGTGTTATAAATCAAATAAACAAATCTAATATGAAACAAAGGTTCACTCTTTTTTCAAAGATATTTGAAAGAATTAGTACATTGTTATGTATCAGATTTTGACGCTTACTTGAGATTTTATTATCAAATGCAAGACATAAGGACTAGACAAATAGATACAATCCAGCAACCTTGTGAGCAATTATTTACTAGGCTATGAGACAAATATCATTTATATGCTAACGATACATCTATCTCACCAATTACTTAAGCTGGAATAAGCTTAATATAATATATTTTGAGTCAATGAACCAATCATCAGTTTGTTTGCGTTGAAAAAAAAACACCGAAACTTTAACACAAAATAATGATAAGAAAAAACAAGTATGTGGATATGAGAACAAAAATTAAAGCTTACTTCTAATGACATATCACCAATCCAAGCAAAGAATATACTATATGTTCTGCGTAATGAACTGAAACTATTTCTCACAAGGATATATGATAGGATCTGGAAATTAATATCAGTATAAACATATGATATCGAAGACATATTGTTTTTAGCATTATACAAGGAAGAAGATTAGGAAAATTGGCAGTTATCGAACAAGAAACTCTCAACTTGGATATATAAGGCCTGTTTGGGGACCGGGGGGATAACTGAGTACTTATTAAAGAACGACTATACTGTGCTGCAGTTCGTTTTGTCCTGTGACATAGCTATAAGAAGTAGCCATTAAAAGTAGAAGATAAAAAGTAATTAGTGTCTTCATAGCATTTCTCGCGTATACTGGAAACATCATGTGAGCAATGTAGAGATCAGGAGTAGAGCACTTAGCAAGGAAGGAAACTTGGTCTATAAAGCTGTTAACTGATCTCGATGTGCGATGCTAAAGGAAGTTGGATTAGATAGAAAAAAAGGCTCAGAGTGGCCAGACCAAGACGTAGTACCAGTGTATAAAGTCTCTGAATGTTGGTCTTAGACGCGTAAACGGTCCTCGAGATAACAAGAATCAATGATTGCAAACTTTTTATGATATGACTTTTCGACGTCTTCTAAAGTTTAAACATTTTCACCTACATCTTCAAATTGTTTCGCATTCTACATATCAACCGAAAAGTGGAAATTGTGAATCTCAGATAAATGTCACTGGTTTTATTATTTCACAAGTCATTTTACTGATGACCTTATCAGTAACATTTTTGTTCCAAGCAACATCGACATTCAGGCTTAATACCCATTGATTCAAGTATAAGAAAACTATCCACCAAGCTACTCTGAGTTAATAGAGTTACAACCAGGAATCACAGGTCATGTACTGCAACCTTATAGTATAATGTTTTCAAGTTGAAAATTTTCGATGACTCTTAGTCCGATCAACGTTATCTCCACAGGATGGTGTATATTACATGCTACTGTCATTTTAGTAATGCTAACATTTATCACTACCCGCGGACTACACAGAAACTATCTTTCAGTAAATGCTCATCACAATGTTTTGAAAAAGGATTTCCACACTGTAGCCTACCTAGTAGTCTCTATAAGAAATTAAGTTAATAATGCTAAGACCAGAGAATATAATTTCATCACATTTATCTATGTATTCTTTGAAGGACTATAAAAATTTATTGGCTTGAAGCGTTATCATAAATGACTTCAACATTCCCAGTTTCAGGATACAAGCAGAGAAAGGTAGTTTTACATACAAATAAATTTCAATTAATTCAAAATTGAAGACTTGCTTCCGTCAACAAGATTAGATGATGGTTGTGGTGCTCCTAGAAATTAAATCAACTTATACTAGGAAGATAGATAAAAAATAAACAAGAATGGGAATTCAAACAGTTATAGTCTAATAACTTATTTCTCAAGCTTCAAAAAAGCTTTGAAGGTTAATGATAATAATTTGCTGTTCAGTCTGAATTGAGTAAGGGGGGGGGGGGAGTTCGAAACGAAACCTGTAGTGTAGAAGAAGAAGATCTACTAAGACGGTAAACTCTTCAAACTATTTTAACTAGCTTCTATTTTATTCATTAATTATTATTCTGTGCTTAACTCTTCAGCAATAGCATTTATTCAACCGTGAGGTATATCATCATCTTTTTAATCTGAATGGTTCTATGGAGTATTTGGAGTTTATTATGTTATAGACTTGTTAGTCTTAATAATAAATGCATGAGTTTTGAATCAAAAGAACTGTTGTTAAGAGAGTTTGACATTATTTTGTCCTGTATTCTATTCCTTCAATGCCTAACAAGTGTAGAGAAATTAGATTCAAGTAGGTAAAGGAAAAGTTTGGACAGTGAAACGTATGCAGACTCGTAGTCAAATGAAACTGGTAAAGTTATTTCTTTACTTAAGTTAAATCAAGTGATCTACAGAGACCGAGCAATTCAACCCTGTATAGCAACAAGAATACTACAGATATCAAACAGCAATAAATAATACTTGTTGCAGAGATGGTGGCTCTCGTGCCCCAATAGATAACGCGTTGGTGTTTGAAGCAATAGGTACTGGGTTCGACTCTCAGTAGGAACAACACTCACTAGGGTGCAGGTACATCCAACTGATGAGTCCAAAATAGGACGGAACGCACATCATAGATTCCACTACTAGTCACGTAAATGAACACAACATCAAGTGATCCACGTTAGGAAATATATTTGAAAAATATACACTACTGGATTCAAGTTCATCAGATCACCATGGGACCCAAAAAATTCCAGTCCTGCATACGGTTGAAAGTGTGTACTGTTGATTCATGTCTGAATTGGTGAGGAATAACTTCTTAGTAGTTGCTAGTTTTTCATGATTTTTCAATCAATATCAGTCAATCATATAAACTATCATTCAATAGCAACATTGTAGATGAACTTACAGGGATGAGACAAACGTAGGCGTGAATATGTAAACAGGTTTCTCGATTTGAGCACGCAAATACATAAATAAAAGCAAACTGAAAAAGAGAAGTACATAAGGCAAAGACAATGTTACACTTATATATGCTAGCAACATTTTTATGTAACTGATGCTTCTGAAAACGGTTACAAATTGTACATTGAAATGAGCAAGACACTTCAGGTTTGGTTTATCAGTCTATGTAGTTTTATCTCTTACTTGGAGATTTAATCTATTACCCGGTGGTCGCTGGTTCGAATCCGGCCGAGGTCCAAATTTTCATTTCACCTTCAAACATCACCCAGTATATTACTGATTGCATAGACCGAACTGAATGAAATGAGTTTAAGTCCATGCTCTAGTTACAAAACTACCCAGTTATAGTTCAACTACAGATGAATAGCAAAGCCATGTATGTAAGAAACAGTACAGACTGAGGTGCAGGAAAGAATTTTTATGATGACATTTTGTACAGTATCGATGAAATATTGTACATCTCCCATTAAAATAGTCATTTTCACAATTTATTTCATTTTCTCTTCTTCTCCTATCTCCAATTGCTTTTCATACGTTCACATTGTCTCTTGTATTTCTCTGGGCAGAATCTTTACTGATTGCTGGTAATTGCCTATGATTTGTGCCGACCTCTCAGCACATACTACTTATATTCATCCTTATCAGTAGCACCCACTACGTGTGTAAAATAATGGACTAACGTTTCACTTTATGTACTGGGAAGATATGTAATTCAACAACCTCAAAATGAAGGTTACTGTAATGAGTAGGGTTTAACATTACTGTCTACCGAACCATAAGTCACATTTCCATTGTTTGACAGTTTTGATACAACCAAGGTGCTCGAACCTTGGAAGGTGAAGCGAGGTTTAAAGATATGAGTATATTACCAGTTAAAAGTCTAGCACATGATCCAGTAGGCTGGGGCTCCATTATTAAGAGGAACAATCTACAACATATGTGGGTTTAGAAGATGCAGTTGGATTCATGAACTGCACACTGTCCACTTACTGGTTCCACCAGATACGAGTAGTATTCCAAAGAAACCGATAATAGATTACTACTACTAGTCTATTCATATGCCATCCACATTCAACGGTCATATATTAGTGGCCGAGTATAACAAGGCAGGCTGCTGTGCAGTATAGTCGCCCTAACATATATCACCGGTGTCGCAAATAGGTTGAGTTGATGAGCGTCAAACGGGTAACGGTAAGTAAGAGTTCGATAACAGTACAAACGTTTGTTGATCAGAATGAATAACCTTTATCGCATATACTCATCCATAGTCAAGTCGATTTAACAGCAGGATTAAATGAAAGGAAAGCTAAGGATGATCGAACTAAAATGTGGTCATTATAAATAAAATCAATGACTCTTTTAGATATGGTTTGAAACCATTCATGTTAGCGCATGTATATTCATTTTTACTATCAAAATCCTAAACATCTAAGTAACTCTTTTTCGCTTTTCTTCTTCTTGTGATATCATCATGGAAATTGACAATACTGTACATAACAGTGTAATTTGTCATACTTCATGTCAACATATAGAGATACAATACAGTGGGATGGAAGATAGAGAAATCGACAAAAAGAGTGTACTGCGGCTAACAATAGAGAGTGAAGTGGTTGAGTGTGTTGACCACTTCACTTACCTGGGAAGTAGGATTAACCCCGGTGGGTTAGTTGCCGATGAGATCTCTGCAAGGATACAAAAGGCTCGATTGGCTTTTGCCAATTTGCGCCACCTATGGCGCCGCCGTGATATTCGTTTGTCTATTAAGGGTCACATATACTGCACAACAGTCCGCTCTGTTCTACTGTATGGCTGTGAAACATGGCCATTGAAAGTGGAGGATACAAAAAGGCTTCAGGTGTTTGACCACCGTTGCCTTCGTAGTATAGGACGTATTCCGTGGTGTCACCATGTGAGTAATGCAGAAGTTAGGTGTAGAGTTTTGGGGAGAAGAGGTAAATCAGTTGACGAGGTTGTGAACCTTCATCGACTGAGATGGTTGGGACACGTACTACATATGCCTAGTCACCGATTGCCTCGTCACACAATGTTGGCTGAGGTGGGTCCAGGCTGGAAAAAGGCCCGAGGTGGCCAGACTAAAACATGGCACCAATGTATGAAGTCTCTGACTGTTGGTTTAAGCCATGTAGGACGATGCAGACTATGTGGTTGGGGTCCACGGGACAGGAGGAACCAGTGGTTGGAGACCCTAGGTGATCACATGGCTCAGAACCGAAGTCAGTGGGGCAGATGTATACACACATTATCCTCATCTTAACAACGCTATACCGAATCTCACCATTTTGTCACTCCTCTTTCCTTTCTTCTTGTACTTGATATTTGTTTTGACTGCATTCACTTATCTTCATCCTTTGCCTCACTACCTTTTTACTTGATGTGCTGATATGAGGTGTGGCAACTTGGACCGTTAAACAGTAATGCCTGGTCCTATGTTGATAATGATGATGATGAATCAAGAGTCGTAGAAAGTCATTCGAAGAGAAGGTGAGACGAGAAAACAACAAACGAATGGGATTTGACGATTTAGATGAAGATAATGTTTGGATACATTAGCGACAATGAGATCGATTTTGAACCATATCACAGGTCTTCCAAATATCAATTTTGATTGTTACACAGAACCGTTTTTTCTTACATCATTCTTGCTTATTAAAACATTTTTCAGATTCATTTTATTTCCTCTTTCTGTATTGTTTTGATGTACAGTGGTTTGAACCAATACACGCTAGGGTAGGGTTTTTAATTTTAGAATAATCATATGTTAGAACAGACTAACTATCGTATGAACTAGCTACCGGATGGTAATCAATATAGCTTTAACGTTCTATGAACTGGATAGTGACTGAAGTCTACCGATCGAGTTTGCAATCACCTCACTGAGCTAAATGAATGACAGAACACTGTTATGTACTACTACATATGGCGTTGTGAATTGATAGCTACATTAGTTACTAAGTCCTGAAATATTTGGTCCATTTTAACACATTATATTTCTTAATACAAAAAGACAGATAGATAAAAATGTAGAGTATCGTACAAGTGTGCAACTTTTAAAACTGTTTTATTTTAAAACACCATAGAAAGAGGAAGATTATCTATTTTGGTGTAAAAATAATTTCAAGTTAAAATATATTATTTATTGCACATCCATAAATGAACATAGATGGAGTGGTTTGCTTAAACCGAACATATATTTCATCAAATTCTTCCCTTTCAATTTGTTTTAATCATTCAAATATGTCTTCTAAACATAAACATTTGCTTTCGAACATTTTTCAAACTGCTATTTACACCAAGCTTAGAACCAAACAAATTAAACATGTTATACACGATAGAAATAGACTTGTAAATGCTCAAAAATACATTACATTACTATTCTTAGGATACCTATCTATGCCGAATTGCAGATTTTTGTATTGTCAGAATAAACTACGATCATCAAAATTATGCTCGATTTTTTATTCATTCACCAATCCAGACTAGATGCTAATGTAAGGCTAGCTGCCTATTTTCTTATTATTGCCTTTAATATTGTTATTATTAACACTAGTCAGATGGAATAAATATTTCGCTAAAAATATTGTACAGAGAATGAATATAATGAAATATTAAATACTGAGAATTTCACACAGTATCATATAAAACAACAACTCACCATCAAACCGATAATCCCTAGTACAGTTAAACCCAATGGTGAAAAACATTTGCATAGAAATTCACGTAATAAATACGAATTCTCTACATAATCTTTATCATGAGTAGTTGGTTTCAGTAATGGTAAATTAACAGTATTCAACCCCTCATCATCATTTCTAATCTCTCTTTCTTCTTGTTCCATATGATGATTAGAATATTGAATAGATGAATTAACAGTTCTTTTATACTTCTTGTTTATTTCATACAATGAATCATCAGGAGTGAATAATTGATTTAAGAACTCATCAGATCTACTGAATAGCAAGTTGGATGATCCATGATAACTACTAGTGTAATCAGCCGAATTATTTTGAGTTTTCATTCTTTTCTCGTGATCACTTTCAACGATAGTGAAATTCCTATTGTTAACATTATAATTATTACTGTTATTGTTATTATTGTGTAATGGTAGTAAGCATTCTAAGTGATCATCTTCAGTATCTTTTAATACTCCAGTTTGTCGTAATGATTCACATAAAAGTGCAAATATCATACCATAGACAGCTGAAAAACGATCCATTGACCAACGATAGAACCAAGTTTGTTGATCATCTGCAATCTCTTCGTGTGCTGGAACATTTGTCGTATGCTCATGATTATATTGGAATAGATATTTCTGTGGTCTGTATAAATAGAGTGAATTTTTTTTACAAATAAATGAAGTACTTTACGACTATTATTATCATCATTCGTAGTAGTACTAGTAGTAGAGCTGGTAACAATAGAAAGTCATCATTAGTGTACAGTTATATGAAAAGCTAAATCAGTCCCGTGAAGCTAATATAAAATCATACGACAGAATTTACTCTAAGAAGTCTATCCCTAAATATGCAAATTGGAATGATTATTTCTTTTCATTATTCAAAACGACTTTCATTTCTTTTCTAATTTCACTCAAGGTAAATTTTCGTTAGTTAACTGGATATTGACATTTAATCAGAGACATGCTATACAGGATCCAAGTGTGGTTATTAAATTGACATCACCTGACCAGTGCTGTGAATCTTCAAAATACCCCATTACAAGTAACTACAGACCCAGTGGCAACCTGTCGTGGACTCATTGGCGTAAGCATAGCAATGGGCTGTAGAGCAGAAAGTGCACTTCCCGACTGGATACCAATCAACAGCCGTTCATATGCTGTTCTACTGAATGAATCTGTAAGAAATAACTAGGAAGGATCGTGAAACTAGGCCATGCCTATTCCTAATCTCCACTTACACACCCACCGACTGCTGTTCGGATGATGTAAAGAATGAATTCTATGGGAAGCTGTCAATTCTACTGCAGAAATCAAAACGTTCAGATGTAGTCAGAATGGTAGGTGACTTTAACACTTAGGTAGGGAAATGCATTTCGGAGGTATTTACGGAATCTCATCTCAACGAACCGACAACAGTGATCATCTGTTGCAATTACGCCCCGACAATCATCTGTTTCTGGCCAACACTAACTTTAAGCAGCATAAAGAGAGACACTGTCTCATATGGTGTCCGCCGACGAACACAGGTAGATGACATTGGTATAAGCCATCGTTGGAGGATTGAACTGTTTATGGAGTACCAGTTTGAACTGCGACCACGCGGAAGTTCGGGCTCGTGTATATATGCACCTTACTGGTCGCAGGAAACAGACGACAGTAAAGCTTGTCTATGCTCGATCGGAATATGAGGACGCCAAGTTCGAATTTAGAGAAGAGATAGCTAAGCATTTATCTGGACGTGATAGCGATATTTATGTTGTGGGAACCTGGCGTAATATTAAGTCTGCTGTAGAAACAGTGGTAAAGACAGTTTTTAGCCTGTACTCAAAGGTTAGCAAACGTCATTGGATTTTTGCATCGTCATCCGAAGGCATCAGTGTTCGGTGACATCCGTCAACTATTTAGACTGGTTAAGAATTGTGGCAAGAATAGGAGAGTGGTTAGTGAAACCATCACTGCTGGTAACCTGCCAGGACAGACGGCTAGAACGTTGGTTGGAACACTTTGAAGCACGGTTCAACTAGCCCATAGGAACTCTTCAGTTGCTCAACATCCAGACAGCCTGAACCTGAATGGTACGCAGATGTCGATTTTTCAACTGTCGTCGAATTTGAGGTAGCAGCAGGACCTGACAGTTTATCACTCGACGTTTTCAAGGATCGTGGTGGGAAATTGCTGATTGTAATAACGGGTGTACTAAGTAGTGTATAGAAAGTAGAGATAGTGGCGTCAGAATGGTGTGCTTAACTGATCATCCCAATGTATTAGAAGGGAGAAAATGCCTCCTTTGGGAACCGTAGGGGAATTAGCTTGACTAATATAGTGTCTAAGACCCTGAGATCCATAGTTAACTGGCACCTAATGGGAGTTCGAGACAAGCGGGCAGATTTCGGACCTGGATGAGGGTGCACCGATCATATTTTTGCACTCCGATAGGTCCTGGAACACAGGCATACTTATTGATGGCGGACACGAGTTTTTTCTTGGCATTTGAGGTGTTGTGGCTGTGTCTGACTGCGAAAGGAGTATCAAGCAAGCATAGAGCGCTAGCTAAAGCTGTCTACTGGAACTCATGCAGCGGTGTAAGGGCTTAGAGAGAGTTGTCGTTAGAACTGATATGGTAAGGCACCGAAGGAACAGGCGTTCCAGCCACTGTAGCTCATTGGGTCAAAGTGAGATAAAAACCCAATCACCACATCAACGTAGCTGCTATCGGTCGGAAAACGCGATACGATTGTGTCGTCTGTGTACTTTATACTTATTAAGAAGTTTCCTACGATGGGGTCAATCCCTGTAGCGTAAAATTCAGAAGGAAAAACTTTCATAAGCACATACTTGAGAAGTGTAAATAGAAAGTAAGTGATTATCTTTGGCAGACAGAAGTATTCAGCTTAGACAACTAGATGTAAGCTCTAATGCGACAATGGGTGTTCGAGCAGAGATTCTTTCGAAAGATGATTAGGTCTCTCGATTGACCATAGTGAACACCATCTTCAAGTCAACAAATACAACTAGTGTCAGGGGTCAAAAAGATCCATATGTTCCAAGGTGTGCTCTACACATCCATAACCAAGTCTGGAACCTGTTTGGTTTTCTCGGTTTTTGTTACCCAGTGTAACTTGAGTGTTAGGTGATTAGACAATCTAAAATTTGAGATACTACTTCTACGGTTATTACAACAGGATTTTTCTCTTTTGTGATGCTCTAAGAGACCAAAGAAAGGGACACGTAAATTAAACCAAGTACATTTGAGTAGATTATAGTACTTATATTAAAAGGCAATTCAATAAGAAGTTACTTTATGGTACTATTTTACACCATTTTTTACAAGCTTTCTGCTGATTCGTTAATTGTTGTTTCAAGCATTATCGTTGAAAGATAACAGTTAACTAACTGTAAATTGTGTCCTTCATTTGGTAGACTAAATGGCATTGTTATACATTGTAACTTAGTGTGTGTGTTATGGACATGCTATTCAACTGCACATACTCATTGGCTGTATGTTCAAAACAGACGTGCTGGAAAGAAAATTGAGGATTTCTCACCTTATGTACAATTTACCTGGCAACTGATAAGCGTGGGGAAAACACGCAAGTACAGCTATATTTAGCCAGTTAAAAGTATACAAATTCGCAATTATGAGAAAGCGTTAAATTCCAGCTGACTATTGAGGCTATCTCAGAAACAACTGAAACTAACAATTTGGCTTCTTTATTTTTCTGAAAAAAATACCTTTACAATAGAAATAACGAAACTTAATTGATTATCCCCATGGGATAGAAGTGCATCTGTTCAAGTTGTCACGTTTCACAGGATCATGCAAGGAAGAAGTGTATAGGAAAAGTGATATTAAGTTAGACAAATGTGTATGAAGAAACGGAATAAATAGGTGATGCTTAGTAAAACCTTCACAACTTTGCAATGTATACATCTGCGCTATCATTACCGGTTTTCAGTCACACAACCAAGCGTCTCCAACATTGGATTCCAATCATTTCAAGAACCCAAGCTATGGAATGTACACCTTCGTGTACGGTTCATACCAACAACCGAAGACTGATGCTAAGTCTTGTCCTGACCACCATGAGGCTTCTTCCAACCTGATCCTATTTCAGTTAATACAACACACTGAGGTAGGTAATAACTCGCCAAGCCACTTCCAGTTACTAAGATTCACAATTCATCAACTAACTTGTCTTCCTTGCCAACTATGCTATGCCTAACTGTGAATCAACCCACTCGAGCAATGTTATGAAGACAGGTGATCAAAATTTTGTAATCTCATCATATCTTCTACTTTCAAATACCGTGTTTCACAGCTATACCATAGGATTAAACAAAAGGCAGCGCAATATATTGATAATGTCTAGAATGTTAATGAAAGCTTATGAATCAAACTATTTAGCTCAAAAAGGTAATAATACCAACACCATTCACGTGAGTATCGTCGTTACAGAACTTGAAGACTGGGAAAATCAGAAATTAAAACCAGTTAGGAAGGATCAGGTCTAGTCCTTATAAGCAATCAACCCAATTATTGCCGGCTACCTCTTTTAAATATCTCTGGTGCAAGGCAGACCTGACATTTCCCTCATTTTAGGTTAGTTACAGCTGGTAACTACATTTTGTCGAATACGTCTAACCAGCTGTCCTTTGTTACCTATCGCTACTGTTTTCTCTGACCACCACTGCTCGTAGCCACTGGGTACACCGTTTATCAACCTATATTTGAGCTGCTTCCTATTATCATTGTATTTAGAGCCTGTAGGAATACGTTCATATGGATCCATTAATTCAGAAGAAGCTGATGAAACTTTCTGAGGGTTAGTTATGTTCTTTGATGTTGTTTTCACAGCAGATGGGAGTTAGTATCAGTCTCCTTTTGGGTGTGACGTTGTCCTGTTTCGAAAACAATCTAGCCAGTTCCTTGATCAAAGCAATCTTCATATCCTCGTTATGCACCTGTGTGTGGAACGGCCTAACAACTGCAGTTTATGTATGGCCCATTTACGCGCAAATATACGCGCTTCCAAATCAATTTATGATCTTTGTTCAGATACGTGCTTCAAAAAGAGCGACAGTCTTACACTGATCTCCATCGATAACTAATAGAGATACAGTCTGTCTATGTCCACCATCCAGTCACTGTTCGTAGGCACCATGTAAAACAGTTTCAGAAATCCGTGCTGATCACAAATAGATATTCACCCCAGCACAACTGTAACAGATGGTCTGTTCAGTTGGCTGCCATTCTGATGCTGTCACTTAAATATCCTTTCACCTGACCTGGTCCACCCAAATTTGCATTGAAATTACCCATGATGTCATCCACATCTAGACGTTTGACTTTCATTAGGGGGTTAGACAGTTTTCGGTAGAACTCACCTTCACCTTTTCCCAACTGCAGTCAACGGATGCGTAAGTGGAGACTATGAAGATACAACGAGAAGTTTAAGTATTCTCCTTAGACCTCAATGCACGGTCCAGTCAAACAGTGTATGGGTGACTGTCAATTGGGATTCAGTTGAGCACTGCAATTTCTACCTTAGAACTGAGTGCTATGCTTACAAATAAGTAACACCGCGAGAAACAACCACTGAATCTTCAGAAAATCGAGTAGGGAAATTCTGCAGATTCATCATATTGTTATAGTGAAGTCAAGTGAATAACAATACCTCACAAAGGCAGCATACATTTACGGCCTGAAAGCCAGAGTTTTGGGCAGTGAAGCCTTTTTGTTCGATTTGACGGAAGGTGCGGAGATTGAAAGCCCCAATAAGTTGTTTGGGGAGCAGTTTCAGAAGACCGAGGATGCTGTTCCGTGAAATCGAGTTATTATCTATAATTGTGGAGCTGAAAATGACCTAAAGATGAAGTAAGATTATTACTAGAGAACGATGAGTACAATTAAGAAGGTAAAAATGCGGAAAGTTGATGGCATTTATTAAGAACTTAAGCATTGACAGGATTGTGACAATGGCTGACACTTCTTAGTTGCCCACATAGTGAAAGGTGACTTCTACTTGAAGGATGTAATAAAGAAAAGGGATAACAAAGAGCGGTTTTAGTGACCAGGATGTGCAACCACAGAAGGCGGGGAACACCTACTGGAGGTCAATAATATACGGTTTTACTAGATTAAGTCACAAATTTAACTGTGCTACCTTTGTATTGGAAGAAAGACTTTAATCACCAAAATCAGAAGTCCGTGCAGTAGAAAAGAATATGTTATTTTCAGAACAAACTTTTCCCATCTTTTCTTAATGATAGGGTAAAACAGCACCACAGTAAGACGATGATCATTCACAGTAAGCACCTGAATGCTGTCGAAATTCATACAACTAGAATTTTGACTTCACCTTCAGATCTTCATCATAGATCAAATTACCCGCACTGTGATGGTAACTGGTTTTAGCGTTACCACTATGCAAGAGAAGTTTCTGGTTTAATGGAATGTCAAGAACTAATCACTCAAGTGAGCATAAGTCGTTCAATTATTGTGACAGACAATTGTGACTACTACATCATGGTGGCAGGTGTCGATCTGAGAGAATTTTTAACCACCGATCAATACACTATAGTATACAGATGGAGTGTTTATATGTAATTATTCAATGCACAAATAATAGCATAAAGTTTCTTTCGATCAACAAGATGTTGAATATCAGCATCTTAAAGGTTATTTTATAATGAAATAGTTAAACTCTCTTTCTGTGTATACTATGATGCATAAAAGCTTCATAGTTCAAGGTGAATTATATAAAACTTTAACGAAAATAATTATTTACTCAAATAATCCACCTTTTCAAAATTATCATGACAAATATAGAAAATATTCTACTTAGTTAGATCTTTTAAAACTTGAATCGATTCCTCTAATATTCAGAATGAAAAGGTGAAAATATTTCACCTTGGTTTAATAAAATGAGTTAATTGATTTTATGTTGTACTAACGGAGGATTTCAGTAAACAAGTAAAGATTTATGTATCAACCAAATTTGAGTAATTGGAGAAGGGTTTAAAATAATAAACACCAACCAGTTGAAAGTTGGATATAAAAATCAATAAGCTACAACTTCAAACAGAGTAGTATTGAAAGTTTAAACTTTTTTATTTCACTCCTAACAACTCATTCTACTTTGAAAGTATCTCTTGTCTGTGATGAAATATCACTATATGAACAATGCAAGATAGGGTATTTTAAAGATATAAGTCAGTTGATGAGGTTTCAAACCTTCATCGACTAGGGTGGTTAGGAAGTGTCCATAGCATACTGAATCGGGATTTACTCTAGAGAGCCATTTAGCTGGAGTAAGATATGGTTAGAAGAAAGCTAATAGAGGTTAGATGAAGTTGTGGAATCAGCCTATCAATTATCTGATTTAAATCGTTTTGGGAAATGCAATCTCTCAAGTTGAGGTATGTAAGATGACTGAAGACCTTTAAGTGATAATGTAGTGGGTGCTACTGATAAGAACGGATATAAGTAGTATATGTTGAGAGGTCGGCATAAGTCATAGGTAATTACAAGCGATGGATAAAGATTCTGTCCAGAGAAACACAAGAGACAATCTGAACGTATGAAGAGTAATTCGAGATAGGTGAAGAAGAGAAAATGAAATGCAAAGTATACGATATTTTATCGATACTGTACAAAATGTCATAATAAACATTCCTTCCTGAGTCTCATACTTTGTCGTTTCTTACAGTTGGTGTCAATGCCAGGATCAATTGTAAGAAAAGACTAAGACTGAGACGCAGGAAAGAATGTTTATGATGATATTTTGTACAGTATCGATGAAATATTGTACATCTCCCATTAAAATAGTCATTTTCACAATTTATTTCATTTTCTCTTCTTCTCCTATCTCCAATTGCTTTTCATACGTTCACATTGTCTCTTGTATTTCTCTGGGCAGAATCTTTACTGATTGCTGGTAATTGCCTATGATTTGTGCCGACCTCTCAACATATACTACTTATATCTATTCTTATCAGTAGCACCCACTCCAATATGGAATAGTATCAATTTTAGTGATGTAAATTTATTCATGTCTTATCTTTGTCTAATTCGTTATACCACATTTCTCTATTATCTTTTTTATCTCCTTCACTTTTAACATTTCAATGCTTTCTCACTTTGTTTAAATTGTAACTCGATGTGCGGCAATTTCAACTGTTACACAGTATTATCATTACTATGACTAAATAATTAAAAAACAAACAATTAATTGATATAATTGAATAAACTTACCCAGAGAAAAATAACCAATTAAAGCATCCTCGTGAACGATATAATATTTCAATAAAACATATTAAAACGGTAAACTTCAATATCATAATTAGGTAGACTAAGCGTATACGACTACAATGAACATAGAGCTTAGAATGAAATCGATATATCCAACTTTTAGACGATTCTATGGGTTGTTTTAATTTTGGTTCATTATCATAATCTTCTTTTTATGCATACTTTCAGTTTGTTTTTTCAATGGTACAGTAATACACTGAAATTTACGCATTAAATCCTCTGTTAATGGTGGACCAAGACGACCACGTGATTTGACAACAGAACGATGAAGTCTATGCCCAGTCAACTTTTTATTCATTTCATAAGAAGGGAACAAAGTACTATTATCATGATTACTATTATCAATGGTAACAGCATTAGAATAATTTTGACATAAATCAAAACCTGTGCCAAGTGATAAGGCTTTTTGATGACCTTTATAACTAATTGATGAAAAAGATGTAGAAGAATGTGGAATGGAATCAAAGTGATCATTTATTACAACATTTCTTGATTTCGGCAATGATGATGATGATGATGGTAGTGGTAATAATGATGATTTCAGATTGAATTTAGATTTCATTGGTGATTGAGAGAAATAGACTTCATCGTCTGACTCTGTATACTGATTAGGTAAACATTCATTATTAGCTGTAGTAAAGTATTGTTGAAGAGGATGATGATTTGAATAATCATCGTCATAAACATTGTTGTTAGGGAGGAATCCTCTGCTATTATAATTGATGTTAGTGGTACCATTTACAAAGTTGCTGATAGTAGTAGCTGTTGTAGAAGAGGTAGTTGTCATTTGTGTTGTTTCACCAGTGGTAGTATTAGTATTGATATGATTTGCATGACCAGGATGATTATTATTACTGTTATTATTACCACCATTGTTATTATCATTATTATCATTTTGCTTAGTTTTACGTCCAGAGATTTGTTGACCAGATACACGTGGAAATAGAACACAAACAATCAATACAACAGTAAACCAAAAGATATTAAAGGAATGAAATAATAGGCTAAATAACCACGATTCATTACAAGGCATAGACCGAAGACGAAGAAGTTAAAGCGATAAATAACCTGCAATGAAGAAGAAATAAATTAAACAAATAATTTATACATCAGGAAAAAGAAGAATATGTAATAAAGAGGCAGGTAGATAATGAGACTTATTTGTAAACATAACTGTTGATCATGCGTATAACTTAAGAAGGATTTCAAAGGTGTTCATAACAGCGAATTCCACTGAAGAACATCGACTATTTGTACAAGAAATAATCAAAAACTGTCCCAGATATTTTACAGACGTAAAGTAGTATTCATCATGTACTGACATAAGTTGGAGAATCATTGAGGACTTGAGGGCATTTGACAGTTTCTTCGTCCTACTATAGGACTCCTCAGCAGTACGCATCCATGAGCTGGCTATGGATCGAACTCAGGACTTTCAGATCCCACGGCGAACGCGTTTATCATCCATCCACCCACTGGTTCACAGTTGCCTACTTCTGTCTGTTTGCGATATAGTGTGACTATTATTCAATGTCTTTAGTTGGTTGGTGCAGTCATGAATGTGTATTGCTGAGGAGTCCCATACTAAGACGAAATAGATGTCTAGTGCTCTTAGGTTTTCAATGATTCTCCATCTAATGTCAGTCCATGATGAATAGCACCTTAAAATTAAAATCCTGATAAACTTCGAAATACAGAATATTTAATTGCTCTACAGATTGATATAGTGAGGAAGATATACATCATTAAAATTGCAAGCTACTTACAACACTTCAACTATTCCTTCATTTCAAGTACTTTTAAGAACCGGAAATGTTTATTTACTTGATAATACTAACATTTTTTGTACTCTGTGATCGTTAAATGAGCGCTGTTGTTGTCAATACATTCGAAATTTAGTTTATTTTTTAAAATTAAATCAGTGAAAACTACTTTCAAATCATAAAATTCCAATCAACTATTTTCTGTAGTGATTTGTTTCGCGATAGATTTCCTGAAGTTTTAGTGGGAAGGCTTGGACTTTGGAATAAACTGATTGAGAAGTGAATTATATTCTCATCGATGACATTTGATGCTAGTCATGCTGTGGTACAACTTGACAGAAGCAGGGAATGTTAGATGATTAATTTTCAACGCAGTGACTGAATGGTAACACTTATACCGGGGTTAAATCGTTCGTGGGGTTGCGAGGGCGCACTCTTGATGAGTCGTAAACTAGGACGGAACGGATGTCGAATACGTTTAAGTTTTCAATACTTCTCATGATAGAAACTAATTTCAAATCGATAAATCCTTACAAACTGCCACCAGTTGAACTCATTTCTTAAGTGTCTAATCAGATTCTGCAACCGACTGGAATTCCACAGACGATAATCTCCTAAACGATGAAGAAGCTGATGCAACATAGTTTTTTTTAAGAAACTTCATAGTATATGTATTGTGCATTTTAATCTACTAAATGAGAAATAATGCTTCAGGACTGAACTATTTTAAGCATAGCAAGTGAAGTTGAGAGAGATAACCAGTCACTCTTACGACAGTTGAGTTAGTACCATCTAGGTTGACTGCAGATAAAGTTTAAGAATGAATACAGTATACTCGGTTAGGATTGGACTATTTAGACAAAACATACATTCACGTATTAAAATAGACACTTAACTATCCAGCTTTGATATAGTACACGAACGTGGAATGTGGGTATTAAAGGAAAAGCAATACAAGTAAAGTCATCATCATCATCAGTGTCAACATAGGATCAGGCATTACTGCGTAACGGTCCGAGTCGCCACAGTTCATATCAGTACATCAAGTAAAAAGGTAGTGAAATGGAAGATGAAGAAAAGGAAATTCAGTCGAAAGGAAATATAAAGTACGAAAAGAGAGAAAGGAAGAATGAGAAAATAGTGAGATTCAGTATAGCATCGTTAAGATGAGGATAATGTGTGTATACATCTGTGCCACTGACATCGGTTCTGAGCTATATCACCTACAGTCCCCAACAACTGGTTCCTCTTGTCCCGCCGACCCCAACCGGCTAGTCTACATCGCACCACATGGTTCAAACCAACAGTCAAACATTTAATACATTGGTGCCATGTTTTAGTCTGGCCACCTCGCACCTTTTTCCAGCCTGGACCTACTTCGACCAGCATTGTGTGACGAGGCAATCGACGACTAGGCATGCGTAAAACATGTCCCAACCATCTCAGTCGATGGAGGTTTAAAACCTCGTCAACTGACTTACCTCTTCTCCCTAAAACTCCACACGTCTGAGTTACTCACGTGGTGACACCACGGAATACGGCCTATACTACGAAGGCGACAGTGGTCAAACACCTGAAGCCTTCTCGTGTCTTCCACTTTCAATGGCCGTTTCACAGTCATACAATAGAATAGAGTGGATTGCTGTGCAGTACACGCGACCTTTAATATACAATAGGATATCGCGGCGGCGCAAGTTGGCGAAAGCCAGTCGAGCCTTTTGTATCCGTGCAGAGACACAAGTAAAGGAAAAGAATTGAATCGTTAGCTAAAAAAAACTTAAACTCATCGATTGACTAATATTAATATCAGGCATAAAAAGTTAGGCGGTTGAAGCAAACCAAGAAACTTGCGTCAAACAGGATGGATGTGCATACTGGGTCACTGAGTATCATGAAGATCACTACTACTGATGACAGTGGAAATACGATGATATAATACCAACTCACTGAAATATAAACTTAGCTTGTAGTATATAAGAAGGATAAAATACATGCTTATGGGATAAGATGACTAGGGTAGCAGAAATAAGCTGCTCAAATCCTTAAAAACTATGACGGGCGAAGTAATTACATTTGTTGTTTGTCTTGATGCAAACAACCTTGACAACTTATTTGTCTCTTTTTCAACTTGATCCTACTTCTTCTTGAACTTGCTCTCAACCTTTATGCTTTGAATCTCAAATATTTGGATCGAAAAAAAACTGGTTTGCAATGGATCATTGAAAATGTACTTTGTGTTAATTACGTCTACAGTTAGACTGATGCTGGACTACTTGTATATTTAGATATATTCTCTTTGGTTTATCACTTCGGATTTTAAGCCTAATTAATTAATCGGGTCGAAAATCAACTATGAAATTATTGAACGTAAGTGATTGGTTGACAGTTGATATCCGTGCATCGTTAGTGGATATAGCAGTTTGAAAGCATAACAGATTGAATAATGCTGTATCGGGTTTTAGCTGGCTTAACTCATGGTATTAGGTAAGTAAGAAAATAACAAATAAATAAACTAAGATATCAATTGAGTGGTACAGAATGTATTTCAACTGTATAAGATGGGCAAGTGACACATGTAAATTTTTTAGTGATCTGTTTAATCTTTGCATTGCATAGATTGTACATTACTTGTATAATTTACTGTAGTATATTTTTAAAATGCTCTCAACCAATCAATGTGTTGGTATATGAAGAAAGAACACTACAACTGGTGGTAAACTGAGTTTACAGAGAACATGGATACATAAAATGGTTACTTATGAAGTGCATAACTTGAATAAGAGGTATTTGTTACATAAGTGGAATGATTGCCTTAAGTCCCGATCGTGCTGTAATGTTTAACGTAATTTCAGTGCACTAACATTGCGAGGAAAAATCTACTACTAGTGACCCTAATGTTATTAATGATTGAACCATTATTGTTTAAAAAACCCTCTCTCCTTAGTCTACTTATCATATTGTCTGGATAACTTACACAAAATTACGTAATCACATTACATATGTAACATTTTCTTACCTACTCTAAAACACTAAACATCGTTGCTTAGAAAGATACAGTAACTGTTATCTTGGTCCTTAGTTTTTTTTTTTCACTAGTCCGTAAATTGAAATGTTAAAATGAACACAAAGAATTTTTACGTGTAAAGTATGCTTATTGTAAGTAGTGGTTAAGTTATATCATAAATGAGAACCATTAAATTTTAACTCATTGACTGAATGATAACGTGCTCACGATGAGACCTGATGACCTTCGGGGTTGAACCCACCACAAAGTCGAGGATGAGTACTACTGGAGGAGTCCTTAACTAAACAAAGCCAAACAGCTGTCCAGTGTTCCCAGGTTTTCAATGAACCCTTCTCGAAACTTATGTCAGTACGTGATACAAGCAACTAAGTTGAAAGTGATCGATCCCCACAGATCATTTATTGTATGCTCAATGTATTTCTCTACTCATTGATTATGATTTTTATAGGTTATGTAAAGCTTAAGAGAGTCTAACAAATAAAAATGACATCATCTTACTCTACGACCGGAACAAACTAGCTGGCTGGCTTCAATAAGAACAAATCATGTGCGCATCAAATTGCAACGCTACGCTAAGCACTATCATCGAAGAGTATAGAGAATAGCGGTCGACTCTCTACCTCAATTTCATAGACTTTGAAAAAGCCTCCGACAGCGTCGACCGAGAAGTAATTTGGCAGTTGCTTCAACACTACGGTTTTAGTGCCACAAATCTTTATCAACCTCATTCAACAGGTATATGAAGACGCCATATGTCAAGTGATCCACAATGGAAACCTCAGTGGCGCCTTCGAAGTGAAGATAGGATAAGAAAAGGCTGCGTACTATCACCGATCATCTTCTTGATTGTGGTCCACTGGATCATACACCAAACCGTGAGGGGCGAGAAGACGGGCATACGCTGGCTGGACCGATGAAAAGACTGTGGAAGATTTGGATTTCGATGCCGATGATAATTTATGTCTAATGTCTTGTTGCACAAACTCGAAGATCTACAGGTGAAAACTAACAAGTTGACAGAAGAAGCAGCGAAGACGGGACTTCAAGTGGACGTAGAGAAGACGGAGGTGATGAAGATACCCAACCAACAACAGCATCAACAACAAGTAGCAATCACCATCAACGGCAGAAACCTAAAGGAAATAGTCTCTTTCATCTACCTAGGTAAGGCAGCATAGTTTCAACTACAGGCGACGGTGGTACAGACAAGGATGTCAAAACCAGGATCTCAAAAGCAAGACAGCCTTTCATTAATCTCAAATCAGTGTGGAGATCTACTCCATTCAACTCAGCACAAAGCGCGAACATGGTCCGGATTTTCAACACCAATTCAGTCAAGTCAGTGTTTCTATGTGATGGTTCAGAAACTTGGCGGCGTGTCACGAAAAGCATTTCCAACAAACTACAGACATCCACTATCGACAGCTATTACCTACGCTCACTCGATACTGATACTGAAGATCAGATGGATTACCAGAAAGAATAAGCAACAAGGAAATCTGGGAATGAACCAACCAAGAACCTAACACGCTACAAATATGCAGAAGAAAGTGGAGATGGATTGGATTGGGCATACACTGAGAAGGCCGACTGAGGACATCACGAGTCAGGCACTAGTGTGAAACCTGTATAGGAAACGACGGGTTGGGCATCCGAAGTGAGGGTGACATGGAGGAGATCATGTGAGGAAGAAATTCAAGCTTGGGGGCAATGGTGGTGCCAGGTTCAAAAGACTGCAAAGAACAGAGTGGGATGGAGGTGTGCTACTGAAGCCGTATGTTCCACTAGGAACTAATAATAGCAATATTCTATAATTGGCGTTTCGACTGCATTGTTCAAGTTTGTAAATGGAGTGAAATTGATGAAGCAATCAATTCTACTCACTTTTTATTAATATTATTATTATTAGTCCCTTGGGTTCCTAGTGGAACATAGGGCTTCAGTAGCACGTCTCCAGTGACCTCTGTTCTCTGAGATCTTTTGAACCTGCTTCCACGACAGCCCACAAGCTCTCATTTCCTCCTCGCACGACCTCTTCCATGTCACCCTCATCTCGGACGTCCAACTCGTCGCTTCCCACTCGAGGGCCTGATGCGTGATGTCCTCAGTCCGCCTTCTCAGTGCATGGCCAATCCATCTCCACTTCCTCCTGCATAGTTGTTGAGTGATAGGTTCTTGGTTGGTTCGTTCCCAGAGCACCTTGTTGCTTATTCTTTCTGGCAATCCATCTGATCTTCAGTAGTGAGCGTAAGCAGTTGTTGATGAATGTCTGTAGTTTGTTGGAAATCCCTTTCGTGACGCGCCAAGTCTCTGAGCCATACAGAAGCACTGACTTGACTGAGTTGGTGTTGAAAATCTGGATCTTGTTCACATTGTAGGCTGAGTACAGAAGATCTCCACACTGGTTTCAAGCTAATGAACGCCTGTCTTGCTTTTCCGATTCTGACTTTGACGTCCTCGTCCGTCCCGCCTGTAGTTGAAACAGTGCTTCCTGGACAAGTGAAGGAGGTTACTTCCTTTAAGTTTCTCCCGTTGACGGTGCTTGGAGTTTGTTGTTGTTGTTAGTGGTGCGGTGTCTTCATCACCTCTGTCTTCGCTATATTCACCTGAAGTCCCGTCTTCGCTGCCTCTTCTGTCAACTTGTTAGTTTTTGCCTGCAGATCTTCAAGTTTATGTGACATCAGGTTAAATGTGATAGTTGATAGTACTGTATATACTGCTTACTACTCAGATTTTGTAGTTAAAAGTTATTTTATTCATTAGTCTACTCTCTTATACATTTTTATCCTAAAGTTTAGTGTGAATATCTGAATTCATCTAGATTTCTTCTTCTTCTTATTTTTTTTGTGAGTTAAAAATCAAAAGTATGCCAATTCAACGTTTATCTTTGATCAATACACTTGACCTAATCAAAGTTGAGTGACAATACATGATAATTTATCAAACTTCGGTCAATTGGTATCATGAGATTATTTGTTAACATTTCTGAATTCATGATAAATAATAAAAGAAAACCTATACTTTTAAATGCAACCCTAACAGTAAATTTTTGGTAATAGACTTTATCTAAGTTGTTATTCTCAACATGGAATACTAATCTTACAAACACTTCCATTATTTAACTTATATTGTAAATGATTTACGAGTAAATTTCTCCAACTATCCAATGAGTATGATGCAATTTTATTACTCCTGATCAATAAACGCTGGAAAGAATACTTACAAAAACAAGGAGTACTAAATTACTTGTATACTTAAATGAGCTGATAAGAGGACATTTGACGTGCTTTTTGGGCTGAATACGGCCATCGAATATCTATCTTTGTGATGGAATAGAAAACCTACAGTTGAAACCACCAGTAAGAAACAAACACATTCTAATATTTTAAGAATGATGCTAAAAATCCCTTTAGTTAGTAATGATAGCTAATATATTGACCGATGGCTGGACTTGCAGATCATAATGAATTGATGAGGTCTGCAGTTTTAGATAGTAATTCGATTTCACGGAAAAGCATCTTTAGTCTCCTGAAACTGTGCCCCAAACTACGTACTATAGCTTTCAGTGTCTGAACTTTCCATCAAATCGGACAACAAGCTTCGTTAACTAAAGCACTGATATCTCAGATCTGAAGTCATGGACATATGTTGTGCTTGTGAGACACGCATACAGGACTCGACTGTGGTTATTCACTAAATCTTATAGGGCAAACATGGTGAATCTGTGAAATTTATCTTCTAACTTTCTGAGGATACAATGAATACCTCTCGCGGTGTTGCCTGTGTGTAGGCACAGCACTCAGTTCTAAGGTAGAAATTGCAGTGCTCAACTGAATCCCAATTGACAGTCACCCATACACTGTTTGACTGGACCGTGCATTGAGGTCTAAGGAGAATACTTAAACTTCTCGTTGTATCTTCATAGTCTCCACTTACGCATCCGTTGACTGCAGTTGGGAAAAGGTGAAGGTGAGTTCTACCGAAAACTGTCTAACCCCCTAATGAAAGTCAAACGTCTAGATGTGGATGACATCATGGGTAATTTCAATGCAAATTTGGGTGGACCAGGTCAGGTGAAAGGATATTTAAGTGACAGCATCAGAATGGCAGCCAACTGAACAGACCATCTGTTACAGTTGTGCTGGGGTGAATATCTATTTGTGATCAGCACGGATTTCTGAAACTGTTTTACATGGTGCCTACGAACAGTGACTGGATGGTGGACATAGACAGACTGTATCTCTTTTAGTTATCGCTAGAGGAGACTGGTGGGAGATTCCAGCTTTTTCTAGTGCAAGTGCTTGAGCAATGACCATGAACTGATTCGACAACGCCTACTTCTGTACCTTTAGTGATTTATGAAAACTATAGTTCCAAGACCGCTTAACAAGTAGCTGGGTGATCAGGTCATTAAGATTGTTTTCAATCAGGATTTGGTCGGACGGTTATCCAGAAAAGACAGTGTCACTCATCCGAAAAGACTCTGAAGCCATCTGGAATCCGATGTGAAAACAGCGTTAAGGTGGATCAGCAACCAGCGAAATTTCTACACACATACACATACAAGGTCAGATTGGCTTCCAGTAACTTGTACCATCTATGACGCTGTCATGGTATTCAGTTGTCTATTAAGAGCCAAGTATACTGTACTGCAGTTTGCTCTGTTTTCTCATATGGTTATGAACATGATATTTAAAATTAGGAGACAGGAGAAGGCTTCAGGTAATCGACCACCGTTGCTTCCGTATCATGTCGTGGTGTCACCACGTCACTATCGTAGTTTTAGGCGGAAGGAAAACGTCAGTTGCGAGGTTGTGAACCTGGGTTGACTGGTGTGCTTGGTGAATTTGTTATGTATGTCTTATCATCGTCTCCCAAATGGTTCAATGTTAGCTGAAATAAGTTAGTAATGGAGAAAGTTAGAGGCTTCCATGTTGAAATATTGCATCAGTTCATAAAGGTTTTGACTGTTGATCTAAACTTTGTTGGAAAATGTAAACTCTTAGGCTGGAGTTCACGTGGAATCTGAAATTGGTAGTTGGAGACTCAAGTTTATATGGCTCATAATCAATATCAGTGGCACAGATATGTCCACAGATTATTTTCATTTGGATGATCATACTGAATTTTGTTATTGCTTTATCCCTTTTTCCTTTCGTTTAACGACTTTCTACTACTTTTGATTACTTTTTCCCTTGCTTCTGTGTCCTCCTCTTTGGTACCTGGGTGGTGTACCTTGAGGTGCTGATGTGAGGTTTTTGTAACTTGAACGGTCACGGAGTAATGCTAGGTCTCACATTGATATTGAATAACTGACTGAAAACTTCTTAATATGCATTTTATGTTAAACCTTCAAACAGGTACAGTTGCGTTATACAACAATTTTAACAAAGAAACTTACAATCAAGTAACGGTGTAAAATTTGCCAGAACGCTTTCCATGCAGTACAAAATTCTCGAGAAAAACGTCGATACTAAAACATAAAAAAGGAGTACTTGATTGGAAACTATATAATTTCATTTTTTACATTATAAAAAGCAAATAGGATTACAGTATAATTACATTACACTAGAGAATGAGCCACTCTTTAGGTATCAAGGTTTATGATCCTTCCTACCCAGCTGCTGAAACCGAAGTACGCCGAGTTGAACTTGAGTCCTGAACCAACTGCTTGGAAGTAGAGTGGTTTGACCAATAGGATGAATTTCCACATTTGTCGGACGATATAATGTACATGGATAAGGTCGTGTGAGGAAGAAATGAAAGCTTCTGGGGAGTCGTGGGGCCAGTTTAAAAGGACTGCTGATGATAGAGTGAAATGGTAACGTGAAACTGAAGCCCTATGTTTCAGTGGGAACCCAAAGGACAAATAGTAATAATAATAATAAGTACTGGAGATTTGAGCTTCATGAAGCTTTAACGAAAATATGTATTTACCTAAAAGCTTGTCTTCTCAATGGTGAAATAGGTAAATTCCGTTACTGGTCAGTTGAATAATATAGGCAAGTCAACTGTAAACACACTTATCTACTAAGATAACAGATTTACGTATGTACCTGACATTTTATAACAAAATTAGAATAACTTAAATTTGTGATCCTGTGACCTTACCAGCCGACCATTTAGAAAAACTGACAAATTAGTGTAAGAAGTTAACACACTGGTTCTAGATGTCACACTTCATGTTATTTATAATGGCTAGTGGCTAGCAGTGGGATCCAGGAAGCGCGTTTCGTCCTATTTAGGACTCGTCAGCTAGACATACCTGCCTCCCAATGAGTGATGCTGTTCCTAGTGGGACTCGAACTCGGGACACATAGCTCTAAACGCCAGAGCGTTATCCACTACACCACCGAGTGACGATACCCACTTTTTGTGACCAGTGCCAGTGGGGATATCACTCACTGGGAGGCAGGCATATCCAGCTGACGAGTCCAAAATAGGACGAAACGCTCGTCCTGGATTCCACTGCTAGCCACTATCCATCATTAGTATATAATTTGAAGCACAGGGGATATCGAGACATCAGCACAGGAGCCTATATCTCAATAGAGACCGGTCAATTCGGTTCAGTCAACCACGGGATAATACAAGCAACAACATTACACTTCATGCTAGTCTAAAAACACAAAGTAAAAGAATAAAGAGCTGAATATGGATGAAAAATATGAAAGATGTTGAAAATCGCTAGAATATTCACTGTTGTGATGCATTTTGCGCACTATCACGTGAGGTCTTGAACATTCCCAAAAACCTAATCACGTAATCTTCATTTCCTTGCATAGTTAAGACTAGCAGTTAGAGAAATGATGTGTTAATGTCACAATCATATGCAGATTCACATGATTTTATTCATTTCGAAATTGCCTTAATAAAAACTGAGCACTGAAAAGAGAATCATAGAAAACTAGATGACATTCTTGCAATGCCGCGTAACGAACATAACACCATTTTGATAGTAACGATGGATAGTGGCTAGCAGTGGAACCCAGGACGCGTGTACCGCCCTATCAGCTGAATGTACCTGCCTCCCAACGAGCGATGTTATTCCCTAATCTTTTTCTTAAAACTTTTTATTCTCTCATAAGACTTTCATATCACTCTTCTTCTGTCCACTTGTTTTTTGTATACTACTGTGAAATGTAACCGATGAACTTGTGTACGAGGTCCTACTTTGATTTTGTCTGTCTTTATGTGGTGTTGTTCCTGATAGGGTTCAAACAGAGTACCGATCGTTTCAAACGGCAGTGTTATCCACTAGATCACTGACTATATATATATATATATATATATATATATATATATATATATATATATATATATATATATAGTGTACTTTACGACCTCCCTAAATGGGTACAACTACGCTTCTTATCCATTGTTGAAGTGGTAGCGATCAACACAACAAAATCTGATTTACATGTTGAAAAGAAATATGTACATCGACTTCGTCTACCTTTCCCACAATACGGTTAATACATTTTTCATGAACTTTTTTTTAACATGAATTTCATATTTAAACCTCTCATCTCATCTCACCACAATAGTTTTAATTTGTTCCCCTCATTCCAATAATAAACATTTATTTTCAAATGATATTAGTTTTATATCCTTGTTTATTCATACTACTTTACATTTTTTATTTCCTCATTGTATTCACATGATTTCCCATCCTCCTTGGGTATAACTCAACTTATTTGGGCCTCGTAGCTCAGTTGGTACAGCACTGGGCTGGAAACTTGGTAGTCGCTGGTTTGAATCCCGCCGCGGTTCAAATTTTCACTTCACCTTCAATCATCACCAAGTATCAATACTAGTCTGCCAAACCACGACTATCTCAGATAGTCGAAGTGATAATTATTTGAATACCATTAACCTTTTTATATATGAAGTAAATGGTTACAATAACTGGCACACTTGTGAAGGCAGGAACTCTGTCAAATGATGCAGAATGTCTATCCGATTCGTTTAAATCAGTAATAGTTCTGATAAAGTGAACGATAGTATGAATTCCAAAGTGTTTGTGTATAGGCTTCGAGTAGTTCGCATGACGATTGAGCTACTTTATGATATAGTGAATTGATTATCGACAGTATAGGTAGTTGTTCTGTTCGTATTGATTTCACTGCACAGCCAATATATTAGACTGATTACGATTGTACCTAAGGGAAATTCACATCTATTTGATCTGATCTATTTGGTGTCCTGTATCTATCCCTCAAAGTACTCAATAATACGAATTGACAAGCGTGCAGAAGAACCTCTGCAATTTAAAGGAGACACCCCGATTGAAATTTTATCACGTCCATCAAGAGCAATAAATAGAACGTTTTACTCAAGACGTCTATGCTTAACCTTTAATAGTCAACCATGGTTCAACCCGAGACTTAGGGACATGTTACCTAATTTTAGTTCATCATCATGCATATACCAATACAATTCAGCTCAACTGTTCTTGTGGAACAAGTTATATAGAGTGTACTATTAGACACGTTTCATATTTTAACAATCTTATGATGACATAATCACTCCTTATTGTAAATTCATGTCATTCTTTGTACTAATCACTCACTCGATACAATGCAACCTTGAAGTTTATTAATAATTTTCATTCCCCATACGTCTGATCACCGATAAATTGCCAAATTTTACACTCAACTTATTACCACCATATATAAATTACACTATCATCCTAAATGCATTCGCTGTAAATTCTGGCTATTAATATGTTGACAAAATTGATTTTATAACTGTAGAACCTCATGAGAAGTTATTGAAAAGAATATTCTTCGTTCATATTCGACTTTTAATACATAAAATGGGAATTTTTGATTGTCTGAAATGGATTAGCGTATTATAAGTAAGTTTTCTAATGACAGTTTTTATTTTGGTAATATTTCGAGCAAAATAACTGCCTGTACTCATACCAACAGTTGAAATATTTTAGCAATATTTAGAAAGACAATGACTACACGAAAAGAATTGGATAAGGAGATTAAATACATGTGTCTTGGGGTTCGTTTTTATATCCTTGATATTTTAATTTTGATTATTTCCCTGAAGGGCTCGGACCAGACTTCCGTGCGAAACGTTGGAACTCTTTCATTCCAGACACGCTGTAATTTACACGAATACAAACTATATTTGATGACAAACATCGAGGTCATAGTTGTTACAAATATCCTGAAAGAAGTTGAGAGCCGAGTTAGGTTTAATCATTATATAAGTTTTATTGTAATCTCAGCGCGTTTAGAATGACTGACGAAGATTGCCACATCCATGTTTTCAGTAAATCTGATAAGAGATCGAATCGGCTTGCACACTTCTATGTTGGATGTACAAGATATGTTCGTATCCGTATTCTTTATATATTACCGTACTAAAAAGAGAATTTCCTACTCTTAAACCCTTATACCCTGAAAGAAAAACATTATCAACCCCTTGATCCTGATGTTTTATTCCGATTTATGAACTTAAATTCTTTAAAAATGACAACTATCTGTGAACCCAACTCCTAAATTTGAAAAGGGAGTTTGCGTTTCTCATTATGAAAAAAATCATTAAATCTGAAGTCATCTTAAATTCGTTTACCAATCTACCAAAACATTATAAAGTCACATAATCGCTTCTGATTGATTACTTCAAAAAAAAACAAAATTCTGTTTAGAATTGATGCAAAATCATTATTAAAATAAACGAATAAAGACTTACATTTAACAGTTTAAGCCAACTAATTTGTGCTACAGGTTTACGCCAAAAATAACAGAAATGACCAAATCCTGATAGAAATAAATAACTTGAAACAACTAGACGAGCAGACATAAAAATTGGAGTTACCTAATTAATTTAGAAACATTACAAAAATTAACATTATTTTAAAATAATTTAATGACTTAACAAAGATGAAGAGTAAATTAAGTTAACAGAAACTGAAGCTTAGGTGTAGGAATGGATGAAAATTAACTTAAGTTTGCAGCGAACATCTAGAAAAGAACCACTATAGATAACATACAACTTGGGGAGTAATAATGGCTTTCTTAAAGTGGCAAAATGTCTCGTCATTTCATTATTGACGCAGGTATTTTGAACTATTGGCAAGTAATCTAACCGACGGTGCATATTTAGTTGTCTTTAGTCAGAGAGGCGACCCACTGGTGATTATGATGCGTATGGTATTTCCACTCACCATCGAAATGCTTGATCGATGGCGCATATTTAAGCTGTACTCCACGAGACGGGTAAGGTTAGTTGCATGGCGGTGAACCTTTGCGTGTTTCCCACTAATAAGTAGATATCAACTTGCGAACCAACTCACCATCTTCCCGTCCATCGCTAGGGTTTCAAAGTGAAGAAACCCACTTAGAGTGGGTAGTGGCGGAGCTAATCGGATGTTAAAAAAATACTCGGGGTGTACCTAACCTGTTAGCTCAAGATGTGCTTTACGTTGATCTGCTGTGTGATATGTCTTGGGCAGTGGGGAACAATGCCATAAATGAAAGGTGTGATGAAGGCGGTGGGCTAAATGTCTGATATTTCCTCCCGATTGGGGCCGATTTGGTAGGCATGGTTGCCTATATCTCTGGAATGGGTTGCAGGTCGATGATAAGGTTCATCTTGGTGACTGCACCAGCGGATAGTATCGAATGCTCAATGCAATGAAGTTTCTATCATCCCTCCTAGCTGGGGAATGGGCTGTCGAAAGCAGCCACCGACAAGCTCTTGAACGTGGTCAATTGTCTGCTAACCATACAGACAATAAGGGCTGAAATGTTTCAATACCACCTCACTAACAGAAGTGAGAGGTGTTAATTGAGTGACTAGCGGGAGATGCGACCAGCTCCAGCGGGATAACCCAGACCGGACACTCAATGCCATCTCAACTAAGAAGGTGTGGGTAGATACCCTGGTTTTGGGGGCCTTCTCCGTTAGTACGCGGGCATGGCCTATTGTGTACACCACTTTCGTGCATATGTGCCTAATTGGAAGCCAGTTCACTGGCAGATGATGTTGAGCTGATGTGAAACAGAATAACCTGCAACTTGGAGGAAGAATAGGCTAAAGGATCTAACCAAATTAGAGATTCAGCCAGAAGTTCTATTTTGACATGGTTCCTAACACAATAGAAAATATGGACAGAATATTTTTAGCAATCATAATCCATAGCTATTTGCTGATATACTTGTAATTCTCTGTTGTTATACTGCTAGCCACAACCAAGTAAATTACTTTAATAAATGTTCAGGCAATATCGAGGCATCCGTGTAGGAGCCCATATACCAACAAAGGTCGGACAATTCGATCTAATATAAAAACAGAGAATTACAAGTATACCAACAAATAGTAATGACTAATACCCGTTGTACAAGAACAGCCATCGTGCCTTAGTGGCCTAGTGGATAACGCTTTGGCGTTTGAAGCGGTGGGTACGAGGTTCGAGTCTCAATGGTAACATCAGTCACTGGGGTGCAGATACGTCCAGCTGATGAGTCCCAAATAGGACGAAACGTGCGTCCTGGAATCCTCTACTGGCCACAATCAAGTAAAATAATCACAATCCAGTCAGAATGAATTCAGAGTATAGTATCATAAACCTGAATTAATGTATATCAGAGGTACATACTAGTCTAAGGCTATGCAAAATAGTTTCAAGCCGTTTGCTGTCTGTTGTGCTTCAGAGCAAATCCATTAGGCACTAAAACTAAAGTGTTGTGACTAGAGAAGTTGGTCTTGGGGGAGTAGGTACGTCCACATCACATCACACCACATCTTAATGTTATCATGCAACCTTAGTATTTCTTTATTTTCCGTTTTGTCTATTACGACTAATGAGATTGTGTTATTCATTTTGAGGACATTCAACCATGTTGGTTTCTTATTTATATGTTGATGTGAAGTGTGCGAACTTGAAGAGAACAAAGTTCGATGTTGTCTGTGTCTGTCTGTAATAAGACATCCAAGTTTCGGGAATATTGTATATTGATCTTCGTCACATTCATATCTTTTCCAGCTTGCGTAAAAAATTTCACTTCGTGATACTTTCTCTTGTAGTATATGGGGGTGGTTAACGAGCAGTGTGGTAGAGTAAATCGAATGACAAATATCTAACTTACTCGATAAGAATCAGTGAAATGATAAATTAAGAGGTATAATTGCATCCATCCCTTCCATTCACGTGTTATGTCAAGGTGATTAACTTTAGTCTGTAAATGTAAAATAAACAAAAGTAGCGTGGCTGAATAATAATATTAGTAACAATAATGATCATAATAATACGAAAGATTGTATTGTGTAAGTTAGAATAAAGCTCTATCCTTCAATAAACTACCAACCAGAAAGACTCAGCCTCACTGGTAAAAGCAACATAAAAAAATATTATCAGTGGAGGGACAATACTTCGGAAATCATTGGTGGCTAGTTTATGCCTTAGTTTAACGGACTAGAACTTTGTCTGATGCATAATCATTTTCATGACATCATCCAAACTGCTCGTTACTGACCCTATATCGATACGAAGACGTAACTCATGAACTTGATTTTCAAGGAAACCGTACCGGGTTGGAATCCCACTTCACCTAAATCGGTCTGAGTGACCAAGTTAAATTATAAGCCCTCATAAAATAAATATGACTGATAGTCTAGTATACAAACAAGTGCAATATTGTGCTGTATTAATTTCTTAATTTATTCAACCAAAGCTAAATACAATGTACCAAGTTATTGTCAGATCGTCCAGTTGTTACACTATACGCGGTCACTGTAGAACAACTTATATTACCTAATCCTACTCGATGAAAAAACTGTAAATCTAACAAGTTTACGGTACGACTTCCACTTTCAATGATTCGATACGGTGGTTGACAATGGACAAGTCATCTCACTTGACCTAATTTTCACGCTTGTTAACACTTACCAGCAAGAAATATAAGTAAACGTTACTAATTTCATATCTCTGACAGTGGCTAGAACCAGTGCTACTCAACGCCGTGGTTAGAAATGTAGTACTATCGAAATTTTCCGGTTAAAATTGGTCATCTATAATAAATAAGCACCAAGAATTAGAGTAGTAATTCAATTATTATTTCGATAATGATTCGCATGAGTAATAAAGCTAGGGAGGATTGTTGAAAAAAAGCCATCTGTGAGTATGATCCAAACAGAATTTCATAAGACACTTCCCGAACTTCATGACCACTTAATGTGCACCAACAGTTAAAAGATGACCTTCAAAACAATGTAAATTCAGGAGATAGAACTAGCGAAGAAAAAAACAAACACAGTGATAAAATCTACTGAATACAATATGAAGTAGGATTCGTAACCGTATAGGATATTTTCACTCCTTATAAAACTTGAAACAGAATCTGTTAAATACCTTCCACCTACAAATGATCTTATTTGATGATATTCTCTTAACTTAAAATTGATCTTAAAACATAGATTATTTCTGCGGTGAAACAACTATGAAGCCGAAAATATCTACAGTATTCAGGTGAAAACTGAAAACCCGTTTTATTTAGCTAAAGTTTAGTTGTTGTTCAATTCTCCGGTCAAGATTAACACCAGCATGAGTTTGTTTACTAAGATTTCGTCCCACTTCTACTGATGAAAATGAGACGATTGTGTTCAAATATGAACCCTAAAAAGCTGCTTTTGCATATTCATGTATGATATCAGTTTCTGAAAGACTTTTATTTGGTTATGAACAGTGAAGTGTAGAATTCTAGATATATTTATGGTATAATACTAATAATAATAATAATAATAATAATAATAGCAGCCTTATTCTGAAAGACATTTCAGGAATATTGTACAGAATTTTAAGCAAGTTATATAGCATCAATAAAACGGATCACAGAAAAGTTGAAATACAATAAAAACAATGAAATTTAAAAAAAATTTTTACTCCTAAAAAACCTTTTAAAAAAAGCTGAGGTAATCATGGTAAACTGTCATAATAACAATAGGTATATAACAGTAAGCTATATAATCTTTGATTCACTTGCTATCAAAAAGTTGATACGTTATTAAGTTAATTTCAAGCACATTCCTCCTCAAACAGGATACGAGCTAAATAAGTTATAGTAGAATTTTTGTAGTTACTAGAATGTGTATAAAGTATGTCCTTACTCCTGATCTTGGCTTAGGACTAACACGTATAAAGCTTTGAGTGAAGAGGACGTAGGTCATCTGATAATATAATTACACCCAGCTGTTCACATGAGTCAAGATGTTATTCAAAACCTAATCAATTAAGAGGGTTAGAGGCACACCACTTGTTAAATTGACAATCTTCAAACGTCTACGCTAACTGACAGACACAACGTAAAACTTCGCACACAGCTGCATCACTTCAAGTTACCACACTTCATAGTAGTAAACAAAAAAAAACAGGTGCATTGAAAAAGACCGATATCAAAGTAGACAAAGTTATGTGAGAGAATGAACGATCCAAAGATAACAGTTAGGGTAGATATTCAAGCTTCAGATGTCGAGGAGTGAATACATCTACACCATTCTGACCGATTTCCACCGAGAGTCACCAAGAGTCCTTAACCACTGATTACTTTCGTCTCGGAGACTTCAACCAGACAGGCTACATCTCCCAACACGGAGCATGCCAGCAGTCATGGAATTTATCGACTTGTGTCAGATCTTGATCTGGTCACCCTGAACTCTCTTCCAACCTAATCCAATTTCTCACAGCATCCCACATCGAGGTGGTAGGCGGTGACTGGATGTGCGCAGTACATATTGAAGCCATCTCAGTCAATGATGGTTCACAACCTCATCAGTCGACTTGTTTACCTTGGCTGATACCCTTTGCCTGACCTCGACATTGCTCACATGGTGATTCCACCAGATGCAAGCAATGCTACGAAGACACCTATGATCAAAGTCCTGTAATCGATTCATGTCTTCTGTTTTCAATGGCCATATCTCACAGCCGTATAACAGGACAGAACGGATAGCAGCGCAGTATACTAGTCCACTGATAGATAAGTCGGATATCTCGCCAGTGCCGCGCAATACAACATATGCTTTTTAATGTAACCAGGGGAATAATAAGTAGGAGCAGTAAAGAATATAGAAGATGCAGTTTGTGCAAAACAAAAGTGGCTGAGTTATACCAAAAGCTTTCGGCTTTTCGGTGTAGCAAATTACACGGTAAATTCTTTTGAAAATTAGTAGGATATGGGAAAACTAGGAATGATCAGAATGAAAACACGTGAAGATAGATCACACTTGTAATATCCTCCAGTGCACAGACATTAACAAAACAGGACTAATGAGAATTGAGCAGTTTCCACAGGTCATGATTACGTGAGAGACTGAAATTGTTAACAACAAGACCATTACGAGTGCAGCTGAGCAACGAGAGCACTAAGACCACTGTTACTGAGAAACTGGCTAGGCAGTTATCGGGACAGAACACTACCACTCATCCAAAAGAAGCTTGGTACCATCACCAGTTTGCTATAAGGACGAGACCGTAGCTGACTCTCAAAGAGTGATCAATAAGAGAAGTGGATATACACGGTTTGCCTCGTCGCACGATGTTAGCCGAAGTAGGTTGAAAGTGGAAAAAGGTGAGGGGTAGCCAGATTAAAATATAGCATCAATGCATGAAGTCCTTGACTGCTGGTTTGAGTCATGTAGGGCAATGCAAACTAACCGGTTGGGGTCGGCGGGACAAGAGAAACCAGTGGTTGGAGACTCTAGGTGATCACATGGCTCAGAACCGATGTTAGTGGTGCAGATGCATACACATATTATCCTCATCTTAGCCGCTATAATTAATCGCATTATCCTCTCATTAACTACTTTCTACTCCTTCGACCGATTTTTCCTTCCTTCATCTTCTATTTTATTACCTTGTTACTTGATGTGCTGATATGAGGTGTGGCAACTTGGACGTAAGATGAATAATAAATCTAAAGTAGGATTGAATCAACTAGACAGATTAGTCATTGAAGTCAACAGTTTCTGATTCCATTAAAAATACCCTTAAAGTTTCAGTCATATCTTAGTGATTCATGATCACTGATCCGATTAATTACTTGAGATTGCTCAGAACATACAACAGAAAGCCTTCTTTTAACATATCTACCAAAAATCAATAAAACATTGAACAACTAAAGATGGTAAGGAAAGCAATAACCATCAAATGATAAAATTTTTAAAACACAGGAAAAGTGAGCATAAAAAAACAAAACAAACATACATACATAAAATTGACTCCAACAGACCACTTACTCGCTTAGTAGGCCCACTAAAGAAAAGACCTAATACAAAGCAATAGATAATAGGGAGGATAAAACTCATATTTGTATAACCTTTATTAGCCTTCATGAATAGTATTGTCCTAAAATAATTAAAAAAAAAAACAATAAAAATAAAATAGCAGTAGTTTCATAATATTTCTGAGTATACAAGTTATTAGCTTGAAAAATTTCAATCATTATTTACATGCATGCAATCAAGATTGAAATCAATGTGAATACACCAGTACTACTCAGTCATCAATAGAACATCGAAGAAAGGAGATATTCATTATTCACACTTAAAACAAAAGTTTGAAATAAATGTCCCGAAGAAGGCTATTTCATGAATACATAGTCATCACATAACTCAGAACCTATGTCAGTGGCACAGATGTATACATACATTATCCTCATCTTAACGATGCTATACTGAATCTCACCATTTTCTCATTCTTTCATTCTCTCTTTTCGTACTTTATATTTCTTTCGACTGAATTTTCTTTTCTTCATCTTCCATTTCATTGCCTTTTAATGTATAACCAGAAGATTATGTCATGGGGTAAACCCTTCGAGTAAGTAGAGACCTACTAATGATCTAACTGGCAAGAGAAAACTCAGAAATGAAGCCTGCAAAAACGTCTGTACTATATCCATCATTCATATGTAAGCCTGTTAGTGTTATCTTATCTAGCTTATCTAGGCTTATACACGAAGACATCAATAAAAATGCCAATGAGTACACTGAAAACATGACTAGAAAAAGGTGATGGTCCAAAAGAAAGAACACAACTGTTAGTGGAATAGATATTATTAACAACAATAATAGTAATATATATTTGCTTTATTTCGAACCATAATTATGTTTACAGTACATAAATCCCAGCATGTGATATGGCATAAGTTTACTCATTGTATAACGTTTTTCAAATATATGTTACCAATAGTTCTGTTCAACAATACAATAACAGAATTTTTGAAATGTTCAGGGTGATGATGACTGTTTTGTATCGTTAAGTTGATTGGTAAGACTATGTCTGGCATGATTTTCCCCAGACAATACACAGAAAATAAATAAAGTATGGTTGAATTTTTGTATGTAATAGGTATGAGTGCATAAAGTTTAATATATTTGCTTTGCTTCTTGTCTTCCTTTGAGAAAAACACGGAGATAGATGCGGATGTAGAGGATGGTTGTCATCCGACAGAATATTTTTAGCCAGTTGTCTACAGGAGTTCAGATGCCTATCCAAAATCCTATCTATCAACACGGTTCGTGGTGTATTACTCGTTCTACTAACAGCCTTCAAAATCCCACGCAACACAGGGTAGTTTCTTTCCTGGAGTCCAGGAAAGAATAAGAAGGAACAATCAGTAAGTACAGGTAGAATGATTTTAGACAGTTGAACACATCTATTTCATTCAATTAAGGAAAACTGTTTTCTGTTATGTGTGAAGAGCTAGATAAGATAACACTTACAGGCTTACAAATGAATGATGGATATAGTACAAACGTTTTTCCAGGCTTCATTTCTGAGTTTTCTCTTGCCAATAAGATCATTAGTAGGTTTCTACTTACTAGAAGGGTTTACCCCACGACATAATCTTCTGGTTATACATTAAGTTTAGGCGTTTTGTTTCATGCTTAATCAGGCAGTTAGGTCGTTTAACAGCAGTTTTATCCTTTGATTTGTACAGTTTTTCTTTTTCTCTTCACAGTATTTTTAATTAATGAAAGGAAAACTTATCAAACTTTAGAAAAATTATTTCAGCTGAGCAACAGATATCACGATAAAATTGAAGATAGCGTAACAGCGTCCGTCGATTGTTTCATCCAAATATGTCTCATTCTGTGTTTTGTAGCATGCATCTGAGTGTCTCTACATTGTCATATGTAAAGCTCTTGTGTATAGTCTTCTTAGATTGGTATGTAAAAGTATTTCTCTTCAGTTCATGACATATTTTCGACAGAACACGTGTAATACAGTGATCTGAGGTCAACAGTAGTGCACGTTTCCAAATCTAATATATACCAGGTTCACTCATCCATCCGTCCAAATCAGCATAGGATCAGGCATTACTGCGTAACGGTCCAAGTCGCCACAGTTCATATCAGTACATCAAGTAAAAAGGTAGTGAAATGGAAGATGAAGAAAAGAAAACTCAGTCGAAAGAAATATAAAGTACGAAAAGAGAGAATGAAAGAATGAGAAAATGGTGAGATTCAGTATAGCATCGTTAAGATGAGGATAATGTGTGTATACATCTGTGCCACTGACATCGGTTCTGAGCTATATCACCTACAGTCCCCAACCACTGGTTCCTCTTGTCCCATGGATCCCAACCGGCTAGTCTTCATCGCCCCACATGGCTGAAGCCAACAGTCAGACGCTTCATACAATGATGCCATGTTTTAGTCTGGTCGCCTCGAATTTTTTTTCCAGCCTGAACCTACTTAGGGCAATATTGTGTGACGAGGCAGACCAGGTTCATTAATGAAGAGGGAACCGAATGTGGCTTCAAAACTAGTTTAAAAACTGAGTAGATTACTGTGACAAAGAGAAGACAAGAAGCTTCAGTCACAAGGGTTAAATAATCACGGGCAAGGAACTACACATGATGGGAGCAACCAGTTGCGTGAATTTGTCAGCAGATGTAGATAATTCGTAATAGCTGTAATTAGGAGTCACGTAAACACTGATGTAAATGAATTCGCATTTATTCAAATGCTTGGGACGACACTTAACAGTGATACAGTCTATATTGTGATTAGAACAGGTGAAATAGATATAGTTTCATGATCACCACAGTGTTGATAAAGGCAGGTACACATCCACCGTACGTTTTAGTAGAACTACACTGATTCTGGCGAAACACTTTGAAATCATTTGAAGAGACTAAATTGTGATCATAGAATTTGTGCAACCAATTTCCTTGCAATGTTATTACACAAGCATTACGATAAACATTGGAGCATAAGAGGCATTGTAAATAGTCCACCTTACGCAATAGAGATATGCAGTGCGAGCTGGGTATTTCGGGTAGTGTCATTTGATATAGTTTGTCCACTTTAAAGAGCGCTGCCATCCACTATGATGTCTTTTTTTTGTTATATTTGTCAAATTTATATTTATGGGTTGATAACTTTTTAAAAGTTCATGTGAGTATTTAATACGACTTGCTGTCATAATTAGACGATTAAAACGGATTTAACTTGATTCGATATGTAGGATGGAAAAATTTGGCAACCCAGAGGTTTAGGCAGACTGTCATATTAGGTGAAGTAGAACTCTGATTAACAACAACATTCTCCACACTCAGTGGAAAGTTGTATTAACAAGAGGAAGAAAAAAAGGATAGCTATGGGATTTCATAGCTCGGGAACAATGGTGGATATATTTATGGATTCTGGGGAAGAAAAAGCTCCTGAACCAATCACATTTCCGATTGAAATTTGGTGGAGACACGTTGATGGTAATCTAGTAATAATAAGTAAGAAGGATGTCGAAAGATTCCACTCACATATAAACAGTCAGGTGGACTCAATACAGTTCATTATGGAAGTATGGAATCAAGAGAACAAGTGGCAAGTTGAAAGGGATACTATATGGAAAACCGAAGCATTTTAGAAGGTTTCTGAATTGCCGCTCATCCCATCCAATCAAAGTAGAATGAGGGTTAATACAGAGTCTTACAAACAGAATATGTAGTTTTACGATGTGCTTTGATGACAAAAAAAGAGATGAGTGTCTTATTCAAGATGTTATTAGGGAATCGGTATGCAGAACAGTTCACAAAAGGTAGGTAATACCTCGAAGAGGAGACTAGAGTCAATGAGAGAACCAAATAAAAGGGATGACAACAAGGCGACAGCAGTATTACCAAAAAGGCAATTAGGAGTATTAGAAAGGTTGGTATTTGCCAAGGATTAAAAGCAATGGATCTTATAAAAAAATAAGTTAAGCCAACCCAAAGATCCAGTTCAAGAGCTGGACAAGAACAATGTAGTGTATGGAGTACCGTATGCAGGACAAACAGTACGACCACTGAAAACCAAACTGAAAAACCATGACATTGTAGCTAAATGAAGGTCAGCCCACAGAGGGAGAGGGATACAAAACTTTGAAACATAGGTATTCGATGGGAGCTCATTCATGGGAGGAACAACGCTACCGTGCTGAGATTCAAGCTTAAGGAAATGGAAAGAAAGGTTATTAGCAGATGCAATATATTTACACATGTCACGCTTAACTCATGCAACACAGGTGACTGAATACGAATGAAGAACAATGTGGAGGGACTGCACATGTATATGAATCAAAGGCTTGCAAGTGTTGCTGTGAATATGGGTAGTAATGTTGGTCGAAATTTTTGAAAGAAAAAGTCCGGGTGTATGTAAACTTGTCATGAAAAGTTGTGAGTAAAACAATAACGCATGGTGAAATAAAGGAACTTTTGATGGATATATTCAACTATTTACAGGTTTATGTACTAGAGTATGAGATGGAATAAAATGGTTTGAGCTCAGAGTGTGAATAATCAGACAGAGTTATGGTCTCATGTGATACTTTTATAAGGGAACAATTAGTTGGAGGCGGAGAGAAAAGTGGATTATGAGGAAGGTAAATGTGTTGTTACAACGAACTCATTGTCTATCATCAAAAGAAAGGAGATATCTTAGTTGAGATAGCTGGTTACAGAAAAGGCAATGAAGTTTGAGCTTTGACAGAAAGTTATCCTGCAAGTTTCCATTCTTCCTACTACATATTGACAAACGTACAGCTCAGGGAATGCATTTGTTGAAAAGACGAAATTTTTCTTTGCTACGATTGTCTCCTCTCTTTTTCCACAAAAAAATATTGTCAGGAGAGAAATGGTTTCTGTAGGTTTTTAGGTAATTTTTGTTGATGATTCACAACAAGCATAAAATGAATATCTTGTGTAGCGTTTTGAAGATTGGATTCACACTTCACTTAGCCCAATAATTTACGGCCATAAAAAAACAGCCAATTGGTTCTTCTCAAGGTAGTTGTCAGTATGAATCGATAATCCGATACAGAAAGCCATAAATCTCAAAACAACTGCTTTGTGCTACTTTAGGACA